TGATCCCCAGTCAGGGCGTATATGAGAGGCAGCCAATCAATGTTTTTGTCTCTCTCTCTTTTCTCTCTCCACCCCCTTCCTCTTTCTCTAGAATAAAAGAAAAACATATCCTAGGTTAAGAATAATAATAATAATAAGAAGAAGAAGAATAAGAATAATATCATCCAGGATATTTTTGTAGCTATAGACAAGATTTTTCTAAAGTTATATAGAAAAGCCCTGGCTGGTTTGGCTCAGCGGTGAGAGCATTGGCCTGCAGACCAGAGAGGCCCTGGGTTTGGTTCCCACTAAGGGCACATACATCGGTTGCAGTTTGTCCCCACCCCAGCTGGGGTCGTGTGGGTGGCGACCAGTCGATATGACTCTCTCACATCGATGTTTCTCTCTCTCTCTCTTCCTCCTTCTCTCCCTCCCACTCTATCTAAAGATAAATGCAAAAAAAAAAAAGTCCTCTGGTGAGGATAAAAAAGAAAAGAAAAATAAATAAATAAATTTATATGGAAAGGTAAAAAAAACTAGGACAAAGTAATTTTGAAAAAGAAGAACAGAATTAGAGGAATTACTGCCCAATTTTAAGACTTACCACAAATCTACAGTATTCAAGACAATATACTATTTACAAAGGGATAGACACATAGGTGAACTGAACAGAAGAGAGTCCAGAAACAGATCTGTACAAATATGGACAATTGATTTTTGACAAAATCAATTCAATGGAGAAAAGACAGCCTTTTCAACGAACTGTGTTGAAACAATTGGACAGTCATATGCAACAATACAAAACAAAACACCTCACACTGCATACAAAAATGAACTCAAAACAGATGATTTGTTCTAAATGTAAAACTATATAATTTTTAGAAGAAAACAGGAGAATTTGTCATGCTTGCAGTTATGCAAAGAGTTCTTAGAAATGACACCAAAAGCATGATCCATAAAAGAGAAAAATTGATAAATATTTAAAACTTTTGTTTTGCAAAAGACACTGTTAAACGAATGTAGAGACAGGTGTTCCATTCTTTGTGCTTGGATAAGGAGGAGCCAGGCAAGGTCTTGAGCAAGCAATGCTGGAAAAATACTGCTTCACTGGGTCACGTGGTGCAGGATGGTGTTTGTTACAGCGATGCTGAAGAGTGGGGCAAAGGGAGCGGTGGCAGAAGACAACGAAGAGCCCAAGTCTGAGCCAGAAGTGTCAAGAAGAGTAAGTTGGGAGAAGGAGCAAAGAAATATGAAAAACAGGCAGCAGGAAAGGAGCCAGTCCTGTATGAGGACCACCCCCAGATCAGAACCTCACCCAGTGGCAAATCAGGCACACTCAAGATCTGCTCCTGGAATGTGGATGGGCTTCGAGCCTGGATTAAGAAGAAAGGTTTAGATTGGATAAAGGAAGAAGCCCCAGATATCCTGTGCCTGCAGAAGACCAAATGCGGAGAGAATAAACTGCCAGCTGAACTTCAAGAGCTGCCTGGATTATGCCTTCAGTACTGGTCAGCTCCTTCAGGCAAGGAAGGGTACAGTGGCATGGACCAGTGTCCACTCGAGGTCTTCCATGGCACTGGCTGAATTTGCCGTATTTGTGATTGTGGCTGAATTTGTCACATTTGTGCTGGTAACAGCCTATGTACCTAATGCAGAACAACATTTGGTGTGCCTGGAGTACCAGCAATGCTGGGATGAAGCCTTTTGCAAGTTCCTAAAAGGCTTGGCTTCCCATAAGCTCCTTCTGCTATGTGGGGACCTCGGTATAGCTCGTGAAGAAACAGACCTCCACAACCCCAAAGGAAATGAAAAGAATGGTGGCTTCATTCTGAAAGAGTATAAAAACTTTGGGGAACTGCTGCAGGCTGCATCACTGGCTGACAGTTTCTGGCATCTCCACACTAACACAGCATATGCCTACACCTTTGGACCCTACATGATGAATGCATGATCCAAAAATGTTGCTTAGAGCCTTGATCACTCTCTGTTACCTGCATTGTGTCACAGCAAGATCCGTTCTGAGGCCCTGGGCAGTGACAACTTTCCATCACCCTATACCTAGCACAGTGATACCTCCCACAAAATCACTTTGAGCCTAAGAAATAAGCACCACCCGCAAAACTAGTTTTAAAACTGTTTTGCTCTCTAGAGAATTCTGCACCGTATTTTCCTTCTAAAAATATGAATCCTTCAACCAGGCTCCTAGTGAGAGATGGGTTTCCTTTAAGCCCACGGTTTTCTTTTTTTGTGAGTGTGTGTTTTCTTTTTTTACATTAAACAAAAAAGTAGGCTATAGCCGGGTAGGTGAGTTGATTAGAGCTTTGTCCTGATAGGTTTGATCCCCGGTCAGGGCACATACAAGAAGCAACCAATGAAGGCATAAATAAGTGGAACAACAATCTCTCTCTCTAAAAAAATCAATCAATAAAAAAATGTTAAAAACCCAACAAAACAAAAAATTACATAAAAAGTCTTTTGAACTGTCCATGTAAAAATAAAGAACCATAGTTTAATAAAAGAAAAAGAAAGAATGTAAAGACAAACTACAGACTGAGAAAAATATTTACATACCAGATATCTGACAAGGGACTTGTATGCAGAACTTATAAAGAACTCTCAAAACTCAACAGTAAGTAAACAAACAACCCAATTAAAAATGGGCAAAAGACTGTTAACAAATCATTCACCAAAGAGGACATGTGGACAGCAAACAAACACAAGAAAAAAATTGTTCATCATTAGTCATTTGAAAAGTGCAAATTAAAATTGTGATGGGCTACCACAACACAACTATTAGAACTGCTATAAAAAATACTGACAATAACATGTGCTGCTGAGGGATGGAACCACCACTCTGGAAAATGTTTGGCAGAGTCATATAAAGTTAAATATACACTTACCATATGACCCAGAAATCCCACTCCTAGGTATTTACACTAGGGAAATGAAACCTTATGTTCATACAAAAACCTATATACAAATGTTTACAGCAGCTCTACCAAAAATTGAAATCAACTCAAATATCCTCTAGGGATAAATGCATAAACAAACGGTGGTATACTTTATACTCACACAATGTATACTACTTGGCAATAAAAATGAATAAATTATTGATGGATGCAACATGCAACAACTTAGAAGACTCTCAAAGACATTATGTTGAAATAAAAATGCTATTCTCAAAAGATTACAAACTGCATGATTCCAGTCATATGCTGTTCTCTAAAAGACATTAACTATAGTGACAGAATAGGCTGGTAGTTGTCAGGAGTTAGGGATTAAGTCTGGGTATGGCTACAAAGGAATAGCATGAGAGATTTTGGGGTGGTTCAACTGTTCTGATCCTAATTGCAATGGTGATTACATAAATCTATACATATGTTAAAAATTCACAGAACTGGCCCTGGCCGGTTTGGCTCAGCGGTTAGAACGTTGGCCTGCGGTCCTGAGAGACCCGGGTTCGGTTCCCGCTAAGGGCGCGTACCTCGGTTGCAGTTTGTCCCCAGCCCTGGTTGGTCGTGCGGGTGGCAGCCACTCGATGTGTTCCTTTCACATCGATCTTTCTTTCTCTCTCTCTCTCTCTTCCTCTCTCTCCCTTCCACTCTACCTGAACAAAAAATGGAAAAATGTCCTCCGGTGAGGATAAAAAAATAAAAAAAAAATTCACAGAACTGTACAAGCACATATACAGAAGTCACTTTTACTATATGTTAACATAGAAAGTAACACTGAAAAACCCAGAGTGCAAGTATAAATTAAATTGTTATAAATGAAAGTAACACCATGCCTGGTTTTGCTCAGCGGTTAGAGCATCAGCCCTTGGACCAAAGGGTTGTGGGTTCAATTCCCGGTCAAGGTCACATACCTGGATTGCAAGTTTGATCCCCAGCCCTGGTTAGGGTCGTGTGGGAGGCAGCCAATCAATGTGTCTCTCTCACATTGATGTTTCTCTCTCTCTCTTCCTCCTTCCTTTCCACTCTCCCTAAAAATCAATGGAAAAATAACCTTGTGTGAGGATTAACAAAAAATAAAAAATAAATAAAATAGCCTGGCCAGTGTGGCTCAGTGGTTGAGCATCAACCCATGCACCAAGAGGTCGTCAGTTCGATTTTTGGTCACAGCACATGCCCAGGTTGTGGGCCCGATTCCCAGGGAGGGACATGCAGGAGGCGGCCAATCAATGTTCTCTCTCATCGATGTTTCTCTCTCTCCCTCTCTCCCTTTCCCTTCCTCTCTCTCTGAAATCAATAAAGAATAAATAAATAAAATAAAAATGAAAGTAACTTATTTTTCTAACTTTTAGTTTCATAAGACAAAAATCCTAATTGAGCTCTTTTTTCACTGTTAACAACGAAATATCGATTCTTGTTTTTTTTTAATTTGTTTTATTGATTTTTAGAGAGTTAGGGAGAGAGAGAGAGATAGAAACATTGACATGAGAGAGAAACATCGATCAGCTGCCTCCTGCATACCCCCTAACTGGGGATCGAGCCTGCAACCCGGGCATGTGCCCTGACCGGGAATTAAACCAGGACCTCTCAGTCCGTGGGACGATGCTCAATCCACTGAGCCACACTGGCTGGACTAGATTCTTGTTTTATATGAACCTACTATAAGTTGTCTTTTTCATTACCCATTATCCTCCACTAAGCAAGACCTCCTTCATATCAAAACAGACACTAAAATAAATAAAAAAAAGAGTAGAAGGATTTATGCTAGTGATAATATAGCAAGTTGTTTCTGAGTAATGAGATTTTAAGAGACTTTTTTCCTTTATTTTCTAAATTTTCCAGAATGAGCTTGTATAACTTTGATAATCAGTGGGAAAAAGGTAAAGTACCCTTTCAATCTAGTCCTGGTAATGTTTTCTCAAGAGGACTCTGGGGCTCTGGTCTGTATGCATGGAGAAAATAAGCAGCTAGGAGGAGAGAAGGTAGCTAACACAGGACAGATCACATCTTCTGGTGGTACTGGTGAAGGTAAGAAAACTGGCTACTCTCAGGAAGGGGGGGCTAGCTCACCTGAGACTGTTTGAAAACATCCTTCCCAACCACATCCAGGTTAGAGGGGTCTTTGATGGAACTAACATACTTGGAAACAGCCTTGATCACCACATCACAAGGAGGAAGAACCAGCTGATGAGCTCGGACCTAGAAGAGTTAATGTAAGCAGAGAACACTGGCATTAGACATGGGTCATTAAGAAAAAGGGTGAAGTCAGGTAAGATACAGAATTCAATTCAATAAATCCACCGAGAGACAGTTAAAATCTTTAAAAGTAGTTTACAGCCCTGGCTGGTTTGGCTCAGAGGTTAGAGCATCGGCCTGCGGTCCAGAGAAACCCAGGTTCGGTTCCCGCTAAGGCACGTACCTCGGTTGCAGTTTGTCCCCGGCCCCGGTAGAAGTTGTGTGGGTGGCAACTAGACGATGTGTCTCTCTCGCACTGATGTTTCTCTCGCTCTCTCTTCCTCCCTCTCTCCCTCCTGCTCTATCTGGAATGCAAAAATGTCCTCGGGTGAGGATAAAAAAATTTAAAAAATAGTTTACATGCCCTGGCCAGTTTGGCTCAGCAGTTAGAGCATCGGCCCACAGACCAATGAGTCATGGGTTCAATACCAGTCACGGGCATGTACCTCAGGTGCTGTTTAACCCTAGCCCTGGTCAGGGTCATGTGAGAGACAACCAATAAATGTGTCCCTCTCACATGGATGTTTCTCTCTCTCCCACTCTATCTGATAAATAGAAAAATATCCTCGGGTGAGGATTAAAAATAAATAAAGTTCCCATTCTAATTCTCAGTACAGAATACTTGGAAAAGATTGAAAAGTATTAAAATAAGGTAAAATCATATTATCAATAATCCCACTAGAGAGATAACCACTGTTTTATGACACTGTTATAATTAATCAGTTTTCTTTCATAACACATTATGGCTGCTTCAAATTTCTTGCTATTAAAGGTAGTGTTGCAATATGTAGATCCTGATTTGAAGTAACCACAAAAAGGCCTTTTTGAGACAATCAGGAAAACCCAAAAATTAACTGGATATTAAGATGATAACAAGAAATTATCACTGGAATTTCATGATACAAACTACATGCAGAGCCCTGGCAGGTTTGGCTCAGCAGTAGAGCGTCAGCCCGCGGACCAATGAGTCGCGGGTTCGATCCCGGTCAAGGGCACATACCTCGGTTGTGGTTCGTCCCCGGCCCTGGTCGGGGTGGTGCGGGAAGCAACCAGTCGATGTGTCTCTCTCACAGTCGATGTTTCTCTCTCTCTCCCTCCCACTCTATCTGAAGATAAATAGAAAAATATCCTCAGGTGAGGATTTAAAAAACAAACAAACAAACAAACAAACAATGTACAGAAATAAGTTGCATCCTACATAAAAAAAGAAAAGATATGATCATTAATTTTGTTAGGAGTAATAATGGCATTGCGATTATGTATGAAAATGCCTATATGTTTTAAAGATGCATATTCAAGAATGTGGGAGTGAAATGACTTGAGGCATGGAATTTACTTTAAAATACATTAGCAACAGCAATACAAAAAAAAAACCCCAGCAAGTGTGGCCACATCTTGATAACTGTTGGAGCTGGAAGATATCACAACAGTATCTCACTATATAATTACATTATTTTCTCTACTTTTGTGATGATTGGAAATTTTAATATAAAGGTTTTTTAATGCTGTGATAAAATATAGGTATGTGTTGTTGTCCACTTTACAAGTATTTAATTACAAGCTTCCTAAAACAGTAATTGCTGTGTCAAAGGGTATAAACTTCTTAAAGACTTTTTACATAAATACTTTAGGCAGAAGGCTGTACCATTCATTCCTTCAACAAATATTTACTGCCTACTGTGTGCTAGGCACCAGGGTACAGTCTAGATAAACACGGATCCCTGCACTCATGAAAGTTTATCTTCCAGTGTAAGTGTGTTAGGATGGGGTGAAAGGAATCAAACAAACAGAATAAATAAGTAAAATGTATAGTGTGCTTGATGTAGGTCAGTGTTACGGAGAAAATCTAAGCAGAGAAGGGGCTAAGGAATGAAAGTGAGTGTATGTGTGTGTGCACACAATTTTATATTGGGTGGTCAAGAAAGGCCCTACTGAGAAAAGAACATTTGAGAAAACCTTATAGGAGTGAGGAAACAGCTGTGCGGGAGGAAAAAGCCTTCTAAGTAAAGGGACTGGTAAGTGCAAAGGTTCAACGAGCAGAAGAAAAGGGAAGGTGAGATCAGAGCTGTAACACAGGGTCAGACACTACAAGGCTTTGTAGGCCATGGTAAAGATTGGGTGAATGACATAAAGGACCATTGGAGAACTTTGAATAGAGACATGACATGATTGGAGTTGGTCTTTAAAAGGATCATTCTGGCAGTTGTACTGAGAGTAGATCTGGTGGGAGGGGTGGCAGGAAGGAGTGTAAGCAGAAGACCAACAGTTAGCAGGTATTATGATAATCCAGATAAGAAAGAATGGTGGCTTGACCAGAGTAGTAGCATGAAAAACTGATGGTATTTGCTGACAGAGATGTGGGGTGTGAGAAAGAGAGAAGTCAAGGATGACTCCAAGGTTTCATGTCTGAGCAACTGGAAGGATGACGTTGGCATTAATGAAAATGGGAAGGCTGTGGAGTAACAGGTGTAGGGGAAAGTCAGAAGTTTCCATTTGGACATATTCTTTGAAATATTTAGTAGGTTATATCAGAATCTGGAGTTCAAGGGGGAAGTCAAAGCTGGAGACATATATTTAGGTGTCATCATTGGATAGATAGTATCTAAAGTCATGAGACTAGATGAAATCAATCACCAAGGCAGTATCTGTAGATAGAAAAGAGGAGGGACCAAGGATAGGACTCTGGGACATTCCAAAGTTAAGAGGCAGAGAAGACAAGGAAGCAGCAAAGGAGATAGAAGCGACAGCCAGTGAAGGAGAAAGGAACCAGAAGATAGTGGTGTCCTTAAAGCCAAGTGAAAAATATGTTCGATGGAAGAGGGAGTGAGCAACTGGGTCATATTCTGCTGACTGGTCAAGTAAGACGAAAACTGAGAACTGGCCTGCCATTTAATTTATTAACATCAATGTCACTGGTGACTCTGTTGAGAGCAATTTCAGCAAAGCAGATGGAAGAGAGAGCAAAGAAAAGGAATCGTAAGCAGTTAAAAGTATAGACAACTCTCAAGAAGGGTTTGATAGCCCTGGCTGGTGTGGCTCAGTTGGCTGGAGCATCATCCTGTACACCAAAGGGTGGTAGCAGGTTCAATTCCCAGTCAGGGCACATACCCAAGTTGCAAGTTTGATCTTGGTCAGGGCACATGCGGGAGGCAACAGATCGATGTTTCTCTCTCTGTAAAAAATCAATAAAGGTATTCTTCTTAAAAAAAGAAGAGGATGATATAAGGGAAGAAGAAATATGGAGCAGCAGCTTGGGGGAAGGGAGTGAGGTCAAGAGCAGGTTTTATTTTACTTTTTAAGATGGGTGCATGCTTATACATCTGATGGGAAAGAGCCAATGAAGAGAGGGAAATTGATGCAGGAGAAGGAGGGGAAAATTGATAAAGTGATGCCCTCAGGTTAGCTAGAGGGGATGAGATCTAGTGTAAGAGTGGAGGGGTTGGCCTTAGATAGGAACATGGAGAGGTCATCCACAGCTAACAGGAGGCAAATGCGTGCAGGAGAGAAAACAAAAGGGTGGGAGCTAGTGGAAGTTCTCTTCCCATTGCTTCAATTTTCTCAGTGAAACAGGAAGCCAGGTCATGAGCTGAGAGTAAACAAGGAGGAAGGAGCATTAGAGGCCCGAGGAGAGAGGAAAAGGTGTGAAATAGTTATCTAGGAGAATAAAAGAATTACATAAATATAATACAGTCACCAACTTACACTACTACCAGAAGTGTATGAAGCCTATCAGTCTCACCACAGCCTTGTTAGAGAAGGGTACATTTTTTCGATATTTACTCAACTGTCAGGTTAAAAAAAAAATCACACTGTTCATTTACTTTGCTTCTATGATCACTTGTGAGGTTCAACATTTAGTCACACTATTGGCCACTGTATTTCCTCTTTTGTAGATTATCTGTTTCTGTCCTTTGTTCATCAGTTCACTTATTGGGGTATTAGTATCTTTCTCCATAATTTTGTACAAATCCTTAAGATATTAAGGGTGTGAGATAATAGAAAATACATATTGGTCTCTGCCTCCAGTTCCTGGCATAGAGCTTCTGAAACACTTGAAACATCCTAAGTGGTAAGAGCACTTGAAGCACCTCTTGTTCTATTGAAGTGACTCTGGGCGGGCTGCTCGGTGGCTCCTGGACGAGAGCTGGTCACCGGAAACACAAAGCCATGATTAGAAGCTTGGAACTTTTAGCCCCACTTCCATTCTCTTGAGAAGGGAGAAGGGCTAAAAATGGAGTTAATGATCAATCAGGCCTACATGATGAAGCCTCCATAAAAATCCCAAAAGTATGGGGGTTCAGAGAGCTTCTGGGTTCGTGAACACCCCCACTCTAGGAGGATGAGGCACGCCAACTCCAGGAGGACAGAAGCTCCAGAGCTAGGGACCCTCTTAGACTTCATTCTATATATCTCTTCAGCTGGCTGTTCATCCTGTATCTTTTATCATATCCTTTAATAAACTGTAAGTAAATGTAAGTTTCCCTGAGTTCTGTGAGCTGCTCTAGCGAATTAATCAAACCCAAGGGGCAGGGATTGTGGAAACCTCCGATCTATAATGGGTTGATCAGAAGCACAGGTAATAACCTGAGTTTGCAACTGCTGTCTGAAATTGGGGGGGTGGGGGGCAATTTTGTGGGACTGAGCCCTTAACCTGTTAATCTGATACCATCTCAGGGTGGACAGTGTCAAAATTGAGTTCAATTGTAGGATACCCAGCTGGTATTGCAGAGAAGTGCTTGATGTGGAAAAAAACCCTGATGTGTCTGGTGACCAGAAACATCAGAAGTGATGTATTCTGTGTGAGTGTGGCAAAAGTGTTAAAGTAAAGGGGACACACAGGAAAGAAAGACACAGGAGGGAAGAACCAGGTTTTCCCTTACACAAAAGGTAGAAAACTGAGTTTTTCCTTTTTAAAGTATATTGATCATAATTATAAATTTTGTCTGTATTTGGAATATTTTAAACTAATGAAAGATAATTATTCTATCAAAACTCCAATAAAAACCTGATGTCCCGCCCTGGCTGGTTTGGCTCAGTGGTGGGAGCATTGGCCTGCGGACCAGAGAGTCCCGGGTTCGGTTCCCGCTAGGGGCACGTACCAAAACAAAAAAACAACAACGAAAAACCTGATGTCCCCTAGGTATGGATGTATATGCAGGAAATGGGGCACATTACCTTAAGTGATGCAAGGGGATGTTCTGGTCCCAAGAGGCTCCAGTGAAAAGCAGCCAGGTCCTCATCTGGGAGAATGTGGTTACCTATAAAGTACAGTTTTCAATTATTGACTGTACAAATGTTTCCTTAGAACCTCCGGGGCATGAAAGGGCTTCCGGGAGAGAAAATGATCAAATAATTCCTACAGGTCAATATTCTCAACGTAATGACTACAGTAGCTATGTGTTGATTACCTATTGTGTATCACGTGAATTATATGCATCTTCTTCATAATACCCATATATGGTGGTATTATTTTCCCCTTTTTACACATAAGGAAATTGAGATTTGAACAAGTTCAGTGACAGCCTAAGGTGGCATAGTTAAAGGTGGCCCATACCAGGATAAGAAGCTAAGGGCTGACTCCAAAGCCCATGCTATTTTCTATTACCTAGTCATCTTGCTTTTGTAATAGCAGCCATCAATTACTGCCTGCCTAATAAGTGCTGGATATTTTATATATCTCATTCCACTTAACACTATGGGGGTCAATGGGGAAAAAGGGGGGGACATCTGTAATACATTCAACAATAAAGATGAGTTTAAATAAATAACACTATGAAGTATTATTCCATTTCACAGAGGAGGAGACTAAAACCAGGGAGGTATAACTTCAATGATTTGCCCAAGGCTTAATTCCAAAACTTGTGCTAACACCCTAAGATTATCCAAGCTCAGTTCCTTTGAAATTATAAACAGAATTCACACCTGAGACAAGATACTAACCTTCATGCTGTCAACACTTGGAAACTCAATTCAAAACATAATCAACTTTCTGCCATTTACTTTGAACTATGTCATTAAAAGATAGACGGATAGATGGCTAGAATGGGTAGATATATAATAAAGCAAGTATAGTAAAATGTTAATGGCAGAAAACAGGAAGTAGATACAGGATTTTCACTAGAAAATTCTTTCAAGTTTGCTTATGTTTGGAAATTTTCATTATAAAATGTCAGCACAACAGAAGCAAAAAGGAAAACATAGCAATTTGTGTTCTTGACCTAAATTTAGACATTGGGGGAATACTCTGAGTAGGAAATCATAGCTGTCTAGTGCTAGCAAAACATTTGGTCTAAGATGGTACTCTGCATAAAATAGTTATGAAATATAACTAAGAGGGCACCTGACTTAAAATAATGTTGTGGAATATCCTCTACTAATTCATAAGACAAACATGCTGAGTTTCTACTAAGAAGCACAGAAGCACAGTGTTTGGTGTGAGGACTTTCAGAAGATAAATCCAATAATGATAGGCTAAATGGCTCTGGTCTTCATTTCTTAACACTGGAAAGGGAAGTTTAATCACTGGAGACTGTTTCTTGGACTACCTACCTAGCAGCGCAGCAAATATGGGAAAACTCATCCGCTTCAGGCCCAGCTGCTTGGCCACCTCCTGCATCAGGAACTGGTTGGTAGTGAGGTTCTTCCCATTCCAGCTCAGCTTCAGAGCATGGGAACTGTAGTAAAAGGGAATATTGTAGAGAGCATACTCGGAGTCATGGGCAAGAAGGCCATGGAAGCCATTTTCCCTGAAAAAAGCCACCACTTCCAAATGGTGGTCTTCAAGACTCTGAAAGACCTAGGAGGAAGAAGAGAAGAACAGGTCATGCAACAGAAGCTGACATGTATTTGGTTAGAAGTCAGGAAGGTTAGTAATTGAATTTTGTAGTTTTTGAAACTTAAGATTATATAAGACTTATATGAGACCGAACAGAAAACTATTTAAAAAAAAAAGCCTCTCCTGTAAACAGAGGCAGAATTATCTATGGGTTCATTGAGATGCCCAGTCTTTTTTGACTCCTTTCATGAAACTGAAGCCTGAGCCTCTTTAAAAGAACACAGAAATTAACATGGTATATACGTTTTTACTTTAAGCAGTAACAGAAGAGACCTTTGTTAGAAAGATAGTAATAACTATTTATTGCACCTCTCTATGCCCTGCATACTTTACATAAATTATCTCATTGTTAGAACAACCATAGGCAAAATGGATATGGATGAAAAAACTTACAAGTGGAAATAGACACAGAAAGGTTAAACAACATATAACTAGAATTTGAAGTTCATCTAACTCTATTTTTTTAAATCCTTGCTTTCTTTCTTAGGAGCACCTTAGATGCCATCTAAGAGCATCTGAAACATGTAGGGGTCAGAAACTTCATCCCATTTTAATTTTTATTATTTTTTTAATCCTCACCCAAGGATATGTGTTTACTGATTTTTGGAGAGGGAAAGAGGAAGGGAGGGAGGGAAAGAGGGAGAGAGAGAAACATTAATGTGAGGTTGCCTCCTGTACACACCTTGACTGGGGATTGAACCCACAACCTAGGTATGTGCCCTGACTGGAAATCAAACCCGCAACCTTTTTGGTGCACAAAACAACGCTCCAACCAACTGAGCCACCTGGCCAGAGCAACTTCATCCCATTTTTAGAATTGGGAAAAATAAGGCTGCAAGAAGTCGGCGGCCCCCAAAGTTACATAATGAGTGAGTAGAGGAGGATTCAAACCCAAGCTATCTGGTGCCAACATGCACACTTTCCATTACACTGGGCCTCTTCCTAGAAAGCGCTATATTTTATGTAATAGAGGCAGACCATTAAGTGCCCTTCCTATGTATCCCTCTATAGCTGCACCTAGAGCCTCCTGAAATGATCTGTACACTGATTTCACCACAGACTTCCTTGATCGCACTTTATTTATCTCTGTATTCCTAGCTCCCACATAAGACCTAGAACACAGTAATATGAATAATAATGGCTAACAGATACTGAACGTGTACTATATGCTAAGCAATATTCCAAGTACTTTACATGCATTAACTAATTTAATACCCAAAACAATCTTAGGAGGCCATAACTATTATTATTATAGTTACATTTTACATTACTATCTTTAAGGTCACATGGCTGGAAGGAGCTAAGCCTAGATTTTGGCCTAGAACCTGTGGACCTTGATAATTTTAGAAGTGACACCTATTTCTTTTTTTTTAAATCTTCACCTGAGGATATTTTTCTATTTATCTTCAGATAGAGTAGGAATGAAGGGGAGAGAAAAAGGGAGTGAGGAAGAGAGAGAGAAACATCAGTGACAGAGAGACACATGGACTGGTTGCCTACTGCACGACCCCAGCCAGGGTTGAGTACAAACCGCAACCAAGGTACGTGCCTTTGACCGGAATCAAACCCATGACTCTCTGGCCCACAGGCTGACGCTCTATCCACTGAGCAAAACTGGCCAGGGCGACACCTAATTCCAAAACTCAGGGGAAAACAGCTTCCTGAGAGATGTTTAATGTCTCACTTCCAATCACAAGCAGTCTAAAGCAGTGGTGTTTAAATTGTGCTTCCCAAGCCAGGATTTGGGTAAGTAGAAAACTGGTAGAGAGAACAAAAGGTGGTGGAAAAAAATAAAAATAAATAAAAAATAAAAAAATAAAAAAAGCCCAGCAGCTGTGGCTCAGTGGATTGAGCTTCATCCCATGGATTGATTGGTCCTAGTTTGATTCCCAGTCAGCGCACTTGCCCAGATTGTGGGCTTGATTCGCCAGTAGGGGGTGTGCAGGAGGCAGGTGATCAATGTTTCTCTCACATTGATATTTCTCTCTCTCCCTAAAAAAAAAAAATCAGTAAAACGTATTTAAAAAAAAATTAGACCAAATAACCAGACAGGGCAGATGCTCCTACTTTCTCTCCAATCTGAGCTCATATTCATCAGGTTATCTATTTTATATTTGGGCTCTTCCAGAAATATTTCACTGAAGAATATTTGCTATTAAAAACAATGAGAAGTATTTATCGCTAAAATGTAAGCTTCAAGAAGGCCAGGATTTCTTGGTCTGTTTTGTTTATTGCTGTGTATCTGGTACATAGAACCCTTGGCACAGAGTAGGGAACCAATGAACCATTTCAACTTACTCTTTTTTTAAAATTTGACGTGAGAGAGAAACATAGGTTGGCTGCCTCTTGCACAGCTCCTACTGGGGATCGAGCCCAAAACCGAGGCATGTACCCTGACTGGGAATCGAACCAGGACCTCCCAGTCCATGGGACAACACTCAGTCTACTGAGCCACACCAGCTGGGCCCATTTCTACTTTCAACCAATATTTACTGAGCCAGGAATTGATATATGCCTGGCACTGATCTAGATGTGAAGATACAGCAGTGAACAAGAGCCTCAAATTCCTATCCTCATGGAGCTGACATTCTAGTGATTAACATTTCACAACAGGCACTAGGCTAAGCAATTTTTTTTTTTTAAATCCTCACCAGAGGATATTTTTTTCCATTTATCCTCAGATAGAGTGTGTGGGGGGTATCGATGTGAGAGAGACACATAGACTGGTTGCCTCCTGCACAACCCTGACCACAGCCAGAGACCAAACTGCAACCGAGGTATATGCCCTTGACTGGAATTGAACCCGTGACTCTTTAGTCTGCAGGCCGATGCTCTAACTGCTGAGCCAAACTGGTCAGGGCTAGGCTAAGCAATTTAAGACATATTTATTCTTCTAACCTTACAAAATAAATATTATTAAGCCCCTATACCTTCCTTTTTGTTAGCAGAAAATGTAAGTATCTTGCTCCAAATTACATAGCTGGCCATAATAGCAGAACTTGGATTTGAACTTAGGTCTGACTTCAAAATAATGTTTTTTCTTTTTTTGTATCAGTACAGTTTTCCCAGCACCACTTATTGAAGAGACTCTGTCTACCCCATTGTAAATCCTTGCCTCCTTTGTCATAGATTAATTGACCATATAAGAAAGGATTTATTTCTGGGTTCTATTCTGTTCCATTGATCTATGTGTCTGTTTTTATGCTAGTACAATACCACTTTGATTACTGTAGCTCAGCAGTATACTTTGAAATCAGAAAGCATAGTACCTCCCAATTTGTTCTTTCTCAAGATTTCTTTGGCTATTAAGATCTTTTGTGGTTCCATATAAACTTTAGGATTAGTTTTTAGTTCTGAGAAGAATGCCATTGGTATTTTAATAGGGATTGCCTTGAATCTGTCTATTGCTTTAGGTAGTAAGGACATTTTAACAATATTAATCCATCCAATCCATAAGCATGATATACCCTTCCATTTATTTGTATCCTCTTCAATGTCTTATAGTTTTCAGAGTACAGGCCTTTCACCTCTTTGGTTAAATTTATTCCTAGGTATTTCATGCAATTGATTGTTTTCTTCTCAATTTGTTCATTACTGGTATATAAAAATGCAACAGATTTCTGTATATTGATTTTGTATTCCACAACTTTGCTGAATTCATCAATTATTCTAATAGTATTTTGGTGGAGTCTTTGGAGTTTTCAATATATAGTATCACGTCACCTGCAAATAGTGAGAGTTTTACTTCTTTTCTGACTTGGATGCCTTTTATCCTTTTGCTTGTCTAATTGCTGTGTCTAGGACTTTCAAAACTATGTTAAACAGAAGTGATGATAGTGGCTATCCCTGTCTTATTGCTGATCTTAGAGGAAAGCATTAAAAAATTACTCTGGACCACTTTGTTACACCATATGCAAAAATAAATTAAAAATGGATCAAAGGTTTAAATGTAAGACCAGAAAACATAAAACTCCTAATAGAAAACATAGGCAGTAACTCTTTGACATCAGTCTTAGCGATTTCTTTTTTTTTTTTTTTTTTTCATCCTCACCCGTGGACGTTTCTCCATTTTCGTTCAGATAGAGTGGGAGGGAGAGAGAAGAAGAGAAAGAGAAAGAAACACCAACGTGAAAGGGACACATCCAGTGGCTGCCTCCTGCACGACCCCAACCAGGGTCAGGAACGAACTGCAACCGAGGTGCATGCCCTTGACCAGAATCGAACCTGCAACTCATTGGTCTGCGGGTCGACACTCTTAACCACTAAGCCAAACTAGCCAAGGCACAATATCTTTTTTAATTTGTCTCCTCTGGCAAGAGAAACAAAAGAAAAAAATAAACAATGAGATTTTGGACTGGAGAAGGGAGGCCGAAGGCAAAGTGGGCATCGAGCAAGGAAGGCAAAGTGGGCATCGAGCGAGGGAGCTCCGCTGCCTATGGACACCAGAGAGGCTGACGTCCATGTATTATTGGCTACTGTCCCCACTGCCCATGCACTGGGTTAAAAATGACAACTAATGCCAACCATGAAAGATCCAAGTCACCCCGGCTCTGTGTGGCTCAATGGTTGAGCATCAACCCATGTACCATGAGGAGGTTCGATTCCCAGTCAGGGAACATGCCCAGGTTGTGGGCCAAATTCCCAGTGGGAGGCATGCAGGAGGCAGCCAATCAATGTTCTCTCTCACCGATGTTTCTATCTCTCTGTCCCTCTCCCTTCCTCTCTCTCTAAAATCAATAAAGAAAAAATATTTTTTTTTTAAAAAAGATCCAAGTTGCAGCAGTACTAGCCCAAGCATCATCAATGAAGATGTGATTATTAACGGTCATTCTCATGAAGATGACAATCTATTTACAGAGTACATGTGGATAGAAAATGAAGAGTTCAACAGATAAATAGAAAAGGGGTTATGGGAAGAAGAATTTATTGAACACTGTTTCCAAGAAATGCTAGAAGAAGAA